TGAAACACCAAGATTGACGATGATAAGTGATTACTATGAACATCCATGTTCGTGTTGAATCACGTATATACTTGTTCATGCTATCTTCGTGCCAAGCGTCGAGTAATTAAGGGTTGTTTATTTTTATGTTTTAAAAGTATTTTTTTTAGTATTTTATAATTATTTGAATATATTGATATTAAAAATAATTTTTTTAAAAAAATATTTTAATGTATTTTGAAGTAAAAAATATTTTAATGTATTTTTAAGTAAAAAATATTTTGAAAGTAACCATGACCATATTTTCTTGTCGGCGTATTTAGTAATGTGTTTCAAAAGTAATTTTGAAAAAAATTTAAATTTTTTTCTTTGAATTAATATGTTTTTAATATTTTTAAATCATTTTGATGTGTTGATATTAAAAATTATTTTTAAAAAATTAAAAAAATTATTAGCATACTTTTCTGAATGAAAAACATTTTAAAAAATAACCGCAATTACATTCCCATACAATTACATGGTCATGCTGTGTTTTACCAAGAAACTAATTTTTTTGTTTTAAATTAATTTTTTTAGGTGTTTTTAAATTGTTTTAGTATGCTAATATCATAAATAAATTAAAAATATATTATTTCGATATATTTATTAAATTATTAAGAAATCTCCCTATCCTATAAAACAAATCTAGAAAAAAAAATTATGATTTGATTTCCTTTACCAATTCATACTAATCAAACTCTATTTGATCTGCCCATTAATAATGTAGAATATGCACGGGATGCGACTATTAAATTAAATATTTATTAATAATAAATATATATTTATATAAATATAATAATATCATGTATAATTAATTAATTAATTATAAAATATATTAAATTAATAATGTTTTTAAACAAAAATATTATTAATTTATAACTATTAAAATAATATTAAACACCACAAAAAAAAATTAGTACAATGATTTTTCATCACATGAATAAATTATCCTTTTATCATCACCGTAGTGGCATGGTGAGCCCAATATTGTACAAAATTTATATTTTGCTATGGCTACATCCTTCACGTGCTGGGGTCAGTACCCTAGTTACGTTTGTACTCTGTTCTCTTATTTTTAGTGAGGCGGAGGTGGAGGCGGAGGCGGAGGCCGTGATATTTAAATCTGAAAGTGACTGCTTGTACTGTTGTCTCTCAGCCCATTAATTACTAGCTGATATCAATTACAAATGATACAATCTTTTGTACTGTTGCTTAGGGCATGTAAAATTTTAATATCTTATCTTTTACGACGATGAGGAGGAGAAGGAGGAGGAGGAGGAGGAGAGTTTGAGTGGTTTAAAGAAGTTTAAAGGTAATTAACGACTATATGGAAAGTGTTTATCTATATGCCATTAAAAAGCCTGACGTAAAATTAAATATTCGCATTCAAAATCATATTTTGATGTAAAATGAGTTTCAACCCCATAATTAAAAAAAAAAAAAGAATATTACGATTATATTTCATATGTTGGTTTGAGAAAATACAAGATGTCTCACCATAAAAAATAACTAAATCAAATGATTCTACTCTCGGCTCCTTATGGGCACTTGATAAGGCATCGAGCTAGAAGAAAATGGGAGCTGATAACATCATTTCTTGTGGAAGAATATATCCACATGATCGGAATCAAGATCTTGACACGATCCTGTCTTGCCATTAAAGAATATTTCTATGACACCTTATCAAACAATTCAACAATGTAATTTGATCAATCACCATAGCATATAAATTCCAAATACAAATTCTCACGCAGGCGAATATTCCCTTTTAGCTCTGTTTTTTTCTCACCTTATATATATATATATATATATATATATATATAATGGGCATTTGCTCCATTGGTTGCAAAACTAGACAAGGAGCAGAGGACAAGCCTTGAGATCCATGGACTTGTGCCCTTCTCATCTTATCAACCTAGCAAATTTATTATAAAAAAGACAAGAACCGAAGAAATTATTGCTCGAGACTAAATTATTACTTCTCATATTGAATATTGTGTATTAACTAAACAAGTCATTAAGGGTTTGTTAATGCAGCAAACCATGTGATTGGCAGCTTAACAAATATATATTTAAAAGATGTTTGATATTAAGTTTTAACATATTTTTTTGTTTAAAAAAAGTTTGAAATTCAATACCAAACAAGCTATTAATTTTGAAGAACAAAGTCTAAAAATAAATTAAATTTTGTACACAGAGACAAGTTACCTGCTAGAGTTGTTATTAAAAGAGAGAGAGAGAGAGAAAGGAAATAGCATATGCGTTGTGTATGTGTGAAAACAATCAATCATATATAAGGGGATACAAGGAATTTACATGGAATTCAGTAATTTATTTCTGCTTCACCGGCAAGATAATAAAGGAAATTCATTATAAAAAAGTAGGAGATTACTAGATGTTATACAAAGTTGATTTCTTTCTCACCTAAAATCCCAAATAACCCAAACTTGGGTGATTCAATATCAACACATCATAATTGATATCTGTTCTCCTAGGAATATATATTTTCTCGCTCTCGGCCCAAGTTTATCTTTATTAACATAAACAAAAATAAAATAATTAAATATTTTTAGTTTAGAGTGATTAGTAGTAGAACCAAACCATATTTTATATGAAGTCTTCAGCTTTAAAATTAGTGATGGATATCTATTCACCAAATAACAATTCATGTTAACTATTTTAGCCTATAAATCCTCTGAAAATGTGAAAGATTTATTCTCAGCTTCTGAAAGCATACAACATGCTCCTTCTAAAAGTTTTTTATTTATGCATTATGCAATTCTATTTTGTTGTTGTGTATTTCTGACAGTACAATATCTAAGAATTTCTTTATTATTGCATAACTCTTCAAAATCACCTAAGCATAATTCTAAACCATTATAAGTTCTTAAATGTTTGATCTTTTATTAATCTGTTTTTTAATCAAGACTTTTCATTGCTTGAACGTAACAAACATCACTTTTTCTCTTTAACAAATTCAGAACTTCATAGAGTAGTCATTAATAAATGTTAATAGATATTATGCTTTATGTTTTGACATAACAGAAAAAGGACCCTAAAGATTAGAATGAACATAATCCACAGTATCTCTTGCTATGATGAATAATATTACTAAATTTTACCCTATATTATTTACAATAAACAAAATGATCACTTAACTTTAATTTACCTATTGTCTAACCAGATAGCAAATATGATTTGCTTAACTCTATCATCTCCCTCTCATTCATATTTCTTAGTCGCACATGCCATAACTAAGTAGAACCATAATCCAAGTAAACAACATATAATACATGAGTTTAATTAATAATTATTGAACCTTGAAGATGATAGAGATCATTAATCAACTTTCTTTTTATCACGACAAGATCGACCTTACAAACTTTTAGAACTCCACCTGTATTAGAATAACCATAATCTGTGAAATCAAGAAGACTAAAAGAAATTAGATTCTTTTTCATCTTCGGAACATGTCAAACCTTTAGTTTCCTAATAATATCAGCATACATCCCAATTCAAAATGTGCCCATACCAATAATTGAAAATCCTTTGTTGTCTTTGAATAAAATAATATTGTTAACAACTTTATAAATATCAAGTCAGCTTCTATTAGAATAAATACAAAATGTGCAAGCAACATCGAGAATACAACTATCAATTAAGCTACCAATAAACACAACTAAACACTTTTAGCATCATCAAAAATTTCTATTTTCACTAACAATATTTGTAGCATCAAAAGTTCCCTCATTTTCCCTTATATTTTCACTCGAGACAGTTCTTCCTAAAGTGTCCTACTTCATGACATTTAAAATATTTAATTTTTCTAAAATTTGATTTTGATTTAAATCTATCCCCACTACCTAGACCCTTATTATTTTGTATACCCCTCATAATCAAATCCTTTGCATGATCATCATTATAACTCGTTAACACTTTTTTTTTTTTACTCTACAAAGTTTACAAAGCTTTGACATCTTCTGAACTAAAAATTCCTTCCATATAAAATTTTTTTTCCTTCGTTGTCTTCTAATAAAACAGTATCATTGATATAGACATATCCCCATTACCTGAATCTTTTTTTTACCTCTCACAATCAATCCCTCTATATGATCATTATTATGACTCTTTAGCACATATGTTTTCAACTCCCTAGAGTTTAAGGAAGCTTTGACATCTTTTGAACTATGACTATATCTTTCATACAATAAAGTATCAATAAAATGATCATAAGTTAGAGATAATAAACACAATAAAATCAAAGTTTATTCCTCATCTTCAATCTTAACATCAACATTTTATAAATCTAGAATTACTCTATTAAATTCATTAAGATGATCTTTAATGAGTATACCTTATTTCATCCAAAGAATATATAATTAATGCTTCAAATACAATTGATTTGTCGAGGATTTGGTTATGTAAAGAGTTTGAAACTTTGTCCACAATCTAATAATTGTAATCTCCTCACTAACCTCTCTTATAACCTAATCAGACAAACAAAGTTTTATAACAATATGTGCCCATTCATAAAATGTTTTTTCTCCTCATCATTCATTTCTTTGTACAAATTATCTACACCATTCAATTCTTTAAATAAACCTCGTTGAACTAATAAGGCATACATCTTAATACATCACAAGTTAGAGTCGTTTCTACCATTAAATTTCTATACATCAAAACTAGTTGTTGATGTTACTTTTATCGCCATCACAAAAGCTAACTAATAACTAAGCAAACTCTTATACCAATTTATTATGAAAATAATATTGGAGTCTCACTCCAATTAGCAAGTAGAGAAATTAAAAAAAAAAACATAATCAATCACATAAGAGCACATAAAATATTTATGTGGTTCGACAACTTAGGCCTACTATACAGGTAAGATGATTAGGAAAATTTGCTATAAGAAAGTAAGAGATTACAAAGTATCACACAAAATTTCTCTCACCCAAAGATCCCAAAATAATCCAAAATTCATATTTTCTCTCTTCTTTTTAGCCACCCAAATATAGAGAATAGATGCACTCACAAGTAAGCCTTAACCGTAAAATATAATATCTTTAAGCTTTTATATATCAACTAAATACATAAGTATTTATTTTCTTATCTGAACCTAGACAAACCCAAAAATTATCAAGAGAAAAAATCAATTTCATTCAATATTCATTATAGAACCTTGGATCCTTCAATATATATACTTTTGGGAAATTGTTTAGTTAAATCCAATTAATGTTAGTTTATATATCATATAGCCAATTAATTGGATTCACATGACACAATTGTATTCATGTAGAACATATTTAATTTTATTGAATAAAGATACTAATTATCATTAATATTTATTTATATTTAATTTATAAATTTAATATTTAATAAATGAATCTACAGTAAATATAAAGTCTATAGAAAAAAATAATTTTCTAAGAAAATTATAAAGATATTATAATTTTAGGATTCCTATTGCATCAAAATATAATTTCTAAATGTTTCTGGTTAATATTCTCTTACTATTGAATATTTATTAGAGTAATGAGACTGATACATATTATTTATTTATTTTTTATGAAAAGGAAGAAGTTATTGTCATAAGCTGAGATATAAAAAAGACCTAAAACTAATATATAAGTATTTGTCATAAGACATCTACACTGAATTAACTTGTATGAGAATTTCATATGGAGATATCATTTGTGTCTATAAAAAAGCTCACGTGCTGGTTGTATAAGTGGTCTTTAAACTTGAGATCATTAAATTATCTTATATACAAAGTGTTATATTTTGATGTTGTGACATGTTATCTTAGTAAATGTAACAAACAAATAGATATTGAATATAACATAAACTATATAAAGATATTTTAGTGATCAAGAGAGGATTCATCACTCTAGATGAATTAGAAAAAATGTTTCACATATTCTCAAATAGTATTAATAGTTAAATCCTTGCACAAAGTGAAATGAGATTGGCAAAGAGTTTCAAATCTTGTCCAAATGATCAATGATTATAATGTTATGAACAAAAATGATTTGATATGACAAACATACTTCATGCTAACATATCTAAATCAAAATCTTATTGATGAAGGGATAATAATTATATTGAGAAAACGGTCACTGAAAAGTTAAGTCAAACCACTTATAAATTTTCTAATATTTTGGAAATCAAGACACGTTTCTAGATGGTGTAATTTATATTCAAATATAAATTAATTAATTATTGAATTAATAATAAATTAAATTATTTAATTTATTTAATTCTATTTATTTATAATTATAAATTATATTTGAGTCAACATTAAAAACTATTAGTCAAAAATTAAATTGAGATGATTAATCAAGTGTGACTTGATTGAAAATAATTTTAAAAAATAAGCACTAAGATCGATGTATTTAATTCAAGAATTATAATTCTAGTACTAGAATAATAAAGTAGAAACTTAATAGATTAAATTGATAAAATTATCCTTAAATAATATATAGATATTATTTAAAGGAAAAATAGATATTTTGTTATTTATAGAGTTTTTAGAATTTTCTATAAATATAAAGTTATGCCTTTTATTTTTCAGAGATCATTTGTTAGATAGAAAATCTACATAAATCATTAAATAGAGAGCTAACACTCTAATTATAACAATCCTTCTCTTCTAAATAAGTATTTATGAGATTTCTTCTTACTAGTTCGTGTGAATTATCATTAGTGACTGAACAATTAGGCAGTTTGTGGTTTGCAACAACCCAGCCTTTAAAAAATTATTCAAAACCGGATAAAATTAGATTTTCAATTAATAAATCTTTAAATAATTTTAAGTTTATCTAATTTTTTAAATATTATTTATGATTTATCATTTCTAATTATAGAAAACCAATACTTAGAACAGAAATAAAAAATAAAAAATAAAAAAAGAAGCATGCTCTCAATTATTGATAAGGACTTGAACATAAAATGCAATACCCGACACTTTTTCCAAACTTAATAAAATTCAATCTTTCTTTAAACGATCACAAGACGGCCAGCACATCATGTTTTGTCTCATTGCAAATAAAAAGGCATATTCTTGGCTACAAAGAGAACGTGAGTGGCATCTTGATCAGGGATAATATGATATCTTAGTTAAGTTTATTTTTTTAAAAAAAAAATTTGTTAAAAATATATTAAAATAATAAATTTTAAAAATTTTATTTTTATATTAACATCTTAAAATAATCTAAAACACTAAAAAGATAATTAAAAACAAATTTGAAAATGTAAAAACACTTTTCAAATTAAAAATAAACAGACTAATTAATTTAACAAAGATCTAAACGCAACTAGACATGTTCTCCAATCCCCTGATTGTGTTTACACATACCTTTTGACGTTTGAAGATTTTATTTAATTAGCTCTTTTAAGCTTTTGATAGAACATAATGGTGACAAAGACACCAGCCTATGACCATAATAGATCACATGAAGTTGAAGTTTGATCTAATTTAACCCATTCATAATTAATGATAACGTGAGCCATGCCAAATTATATGATTAACAAGCTAACTAAAATCTTTGATTAATTAATATTGTGGGTGCTCTCAGGACTGCCCTCTTTCTTTTTCTCAAGTTGCCAATTGTTTGGTATCTCTCCCTTTCAAATCGCTAATGATAGAAAGCTATGCATCAACAATTCCAATCACGCAGAAAAGCATCACGAGGAGGAGAGAATCAAAAGGTTAATTAACTCAGAATTTCCACTCCTAATTTCTTTGAGTTTGGCTAACTAATTTGTTCATGGTCAACCCCATCTAGGGAAGCTACTCGTTATTCATAATTTAATTAATTCATACATATATATATATATATATATAAAAACAAAAATAGGGTTATAATCCCAATGGCATGAAATTTGCAAGGTTCGGGATTTAAATCATGTTTGTTTTTATATTTTAAAAACATTTAAAAAAATATATTATTTTAATATATTTTTAAATAAAAATTATTTAAAAAAATAACTTTTCTATTATAGCACTAAACAATTGCAATAAATTATGTAATGCCTTGCCATTTTAGGCCAGAAAAAGGCAGGCTAGGCCATGAAAGGAGACGGAATCCAGTTGTCCATCCCAAGAATAAAAACGAAGAAGAAGAAGACACAATACCGTCAAAGTACACAACCTAAAAAAGTCAAGACTAGGAGACGGATTCACTTGATCTAGATTTGAGAAATTTATGGGTGGTATTAGCTGTCAAGATCCGTACTTTTCATGTGGACAGCATAAGTACCTCAGATTTGTCTGGTGCTCTCCCCGTTGAAAAATCAAGAAATCAGTGATTCCAATATTCATATTCCTCATCAGACGACAACCCAAGTGATGGGTGAAATGTGCGGCAGCTTATCATCAATGTCTTTTTCCTAGTTGTCCTCTCATTACAGCTAGGACTGCTCTACGCCATGGATCTTTTACTTTCCCCCAAATTCTTTATTAAAATCTGTGCCTTGCATCGTCACCCGCTCTCTCTATGCTCTGTATATGCATGCAATGACTGGAAATAAAAGAGGGATCTATCCTCTTGAATATCAGTTGAGATATCTTCAAAATCACATACGCTGCTGTGTCAAGAAGTTTTTGTGTTCAACAAAATCTCTCAAAATGTTTCAGATTTTAACTAAAAATTAATAATAGAGTTTGGCCGATGTTCAGCATGATTGTGAATTATCATGTTATGTTTAAGAACATGAAGTTAAGACTATAATTACAAAACTCATGCCCATGGTTAACCTGAGAAAATGGAGACTCTGACTTGGTGAAAATCATGGTTGAGTTTTTATGATTTATATAACTCGGGGCTCATGGATAGTGAGTAGTTAAGAAGTCAATTTAGACCATATTGTAAGAAAAGACTTCCTCTCCTCCAAACTTGCCTTCCTCCTGTTCAATTGTAGAACCATCCCAAGACCACATAAGGGCTTTCTCACAACCAACCAGCTCCATCCATGGCGTCGATGATGAATGCGAAGGAGGATCAGGACTGGAAGGGCGTCGCAAGCCCGAAGAAGGAAAGCAGCATGCAAGGGAGATATTGGCCCTGAACAATGCTATTATATTGCATAGCGAACCCCATTCCATGGGCTGGATCAGCTATTTGTAGCTTAGGCCCATCAATGACAAAGGATACGAAAGTCCAATCTTCGAAATCCATCAACAACGTCATTCGTATTTATGTAATGGGCTTTTTAGGACATCAGGCTATGGTAGTTAGTGACTGGGGGCCCTATCCAATGCATTATTATATGGGGCTCACCCACCTACACCATCATTATGCCCTAGGCATGGCTCCGGCGATAAACTCATATCGGTTTAATAAAAGAAAGAATTATAAGAAGAAAATAAAAAACTTACGTGAAAGGCTATTTTAGTGAATTTTATATTTTTATCAACTTTCTTTTTTTACAAATAAAAAAATAGATAATATTAACTAGAAGGAGCACAGACATCCTCTAGGAATTTAAAAACTAGAAGGAGAAATATATAATTTACTAGAAAAAAAATTATTTTCCATTTTTCTTTCTTCTTTTTCTCTGTGAAAGGCTGCTTTTGTATATTTTTTTCCCCTTTGTCATGCCAATCCTCAAGGAGTTAAAAGTAAAATACAGTATGCTAAGCCAAAGCCACCTGCGGAATACCTAAGATGGCACACTGAATGATTGGCAGCGGACCTTATCCCTGTCACGATTACCACTTTTTGGATAAGCCCTTCCATCACCCTTACCCAAACGTATCCAATTTGTTCAAGAAAGTTCAGCTTAATATATATATATATATATATATATATATATATATCATGTGATTGATTGTTATATAATTAAATGAAAAGTAATTCTAAAAATATAAAGTTATTAAATCTAATAAAGTGTATAACATAAATTATAGATTTAGTAGATTAATTTAAATTCACTCGGATTTTTTAGCTTTTTCTTTAATTAAATATTTTTTTTATAATTTTATATTTTTTAATATTAAGTTGATTGAAAATTAAATTTTTAAATTTTTTTTCAAGATATTATTATGATCTCATAACCTGATTCATAAATTTGGTTAGTTGATCAAGTCAATCCAATATATTTTCATTTCAATATTTTTTTAAAAAAATCATTCAATATATCATCATATCAGTATTTAAAAAATATATTATCTAATATGAATTTGATTTTGAATTCATTATTAAAAAATCTTCTTAGAAAACATATCACCAACGCCTTGATATTTTATTTTTTTACTTTAAAAAAGATTATAATATGCAGCATATTGCAAGCTAATTATCTAATTTTAAAAAAAAAAGTTGTGTGTGAATTCACTATAACATTTGTATTGTATACTCTTTTATAAATGAATTGAAATAGTTATTTTTTTTATAAATCTTCAATTTGGCTCTCAATTTTATTTTATTTTTTTCATAGTTGAGTCAATTAACAATTAATTACTTTTTTTTTTGAGAAGGAACAATTAAATTAAAAAATAAAGAACTAAAATGAAAATGGTAATTAATATAGGTGGTGGCTTTAAATTGTAGTTGAAAAGTTCCTTTCATTTCCTTAATATTTTTTTTGTTATTAGGTAATTAGTCACTTAAATTGTCAAAAATTTAATTTTTATATCAAATTTTATTTCCTTCATCTTTCAAATTCTTTTTGTTAGAGAAAGAGGTTTCTCAAATTCCGATCTAAAATGATAGAGTCACCATTAATGACTATTCTAACCACAAAAATTATATATCGATGGATTCCATTTCATGAGAAGGGTTTTATCTAAATATTTTTTTATTCTGTTCTGTTTTTTAGGAGGCATATCTGATCAAGGGGATATATTTGAATTTGGGTTGATTTTAGTTTTTTGAATTGTGTTTTTGAGTTTTTTGAAATCACATATGATTTATTAAGGTGTTTAATGTGTTTTTTAGGTATTTTTTTTTATCAAAATGAGTTGAAATGAGTTTTTTAATAAAAAAAAACCTTCAGACTCTATTTTTTTAATAACTTTGAGTGCTGAACTTTATATAAAACAGGCAACACGTTATTTATTATCTTTTCTTTTTAAATAGAGCGAACAATAAGTTATTCACATGCTAAACTAGAAGATTCAGGCACGCAGACTAGAATAGAAGGCCCAAGCACGTGAGCTTTATTTCTTTTAATATCCATGCAAATTAGGCCTTTAGGCGATAGGCTCTTTTTAGTTTTATGTTTTTGTTTTACTATTTTATATTTGGACTAAAAAATTAATTAAATTCATAAGTTAAGTAATAGATTTAACAAGTTAATTTATAATATTCGAGTTATTTTTTTTATTGCTTTCAACATCCAAGTTATTTTTTTATTTCTTTTTTTCCCTCAATTTAAAAAAAAATTATCATTTTTTATTAATGATCTATGTTTATTTAACTCAAACTTAAAAAATATAATTTTATTATTTGTTATTAATAATTTATTTTTATTATCTCTACCCGCACACTTACTACCGTTTTTTCCCTTCTAAAAAAACAAATAAAAAAATTATTACTTATTTTATTATTATATAATTAAATGAAGAATAATATCTAAGATAAAAAAAAATTATTAATTCAGATGGTCTGCGACTTTTTTTTTTAACTTGAATTCACTTTGATTTTTTAAATTAAATATTAAATTTTACTAATTTAATTATTTAATATTAAATTAATTAAATTAAACTCCGTATTTTCAACTCCGGAAAAGCTTTCACAAATGAGAGTGAAGATAGTGGCAGGGAGCATCTTATACAACAGGTGTGGGAACAGGAAAATACTGGATAAACAAAGAAGACAAGAAACAAGCTCAAATTTAGATAAGAATACATCGAAGTACGAGAATCCTTATCACCAATCACACTAAGCTCCACGCCCCCAAAGATGGATAATATTACCTAAGTCCACCTTGGAAAAACAAAACCTTAATGTCTGAAAGGGATCCTATAAATACTACTTGAGACGTAGGTGGTCACCCCTCCCCGTCTGTGATCGTGTATCAATTCTGTAAACAAAACACAAAGGCATAAATTTTAGGCAATTTTACAGGTTTATTTTGTAAGTGTTAGCTTGGAAAGGAGAGGATTAGAAAATGTTGGCAATTTTTCACAAAGCTTTTGCTCACCCACCTGAGGAGCTTAATAGTCCAGCATCTCAAAATGGTACTAAGAAGCCTAAGCTTCCTGAGGAAACACTCAATGATTTCCTTTCTCACCACCCTCAGAAGACTTTCTCCATGAACTTTGGTCAAGCTGCTGTGCTTGCCTATGCTCCCCAAGACAACCCTTCCTCTCCTCAACAAAAGTACTTGCATATTGATTGAATTTCCTTTCCATTGTTAAAGATTTGTTGTTTGATTCATTCAAAAATTGTTAAATTACTGTCTTGTTGATGGTATATGTTCTGCAGGCTGTTTTGTGGTTTTGATGGTATATACTGCCTTTTCTCTGGAAGCCTGAACAACTTATGCACACTCAATAGGCAGTATGGATTGACAAAGGGGACTAATGAGGCCATGTTTGTGATAGAAGCTTATAAGACTCTTCGTGATCGAGGTCCTTATCCGGCCGATCAAGTTGTTAAGGATCTTGATGGGAGCTTTGCTTTCGTTATCTACGATAGCACGGCTGGAAGTGTTTTTGCTGCACTGGTATGTTTAATGCTTCATTTTGACTCCTTTTTGTCAATAGGCTAATACCATCTAATGAGCTATGTTCAAATCATATCCAAGCATGCTTTATTTTCTTGGTCTAGCTTCCAAGTTTACTGTATGGTCACAGGGTTCTGATGGTGGAGTTAAGCTGTACTGGGGTATGGCAGCAGATGGCTCTGTGGTGATATCTGATGATTTGGAAGTCATAAAAGAAAGTTGTGTCAAATCGTTTGCTCCCTTCCCAACAGGTACTTTGTACTGTAATAGCAGGGGCTAATCACAGACGACAAACAACGTCAGTGTTTTTGGAGCTTCATAAATATCACAATCTGGATTTGCATTATAATCATCTCTCTTTTATGAGAAATGTTGCTGTGTGTCATATAATGGTTGATTTACTCATCAAAATGATGATGGTGATGGATGTACAGGATTCATGTTCCATAGTGAAGGAGGCTTGATGAGCTTTGAGCATCCAATGAACAAAGTTAGAGCTATGCCAAGGACCGACAGTGAAGGATTTCTCTGTGGGGCAAATTTCAAGGTTGATGTCTACACAAGGATCAACAGCTTACCACGTAGAGGAAGTGAAGCTAATTGGACCGAGTGGCAATCACACAGCTAAGAATTTGTTGTGCTTCAATTCATAACCGGATCAAAAAATGTTACATCAGCTACCATCTTCCAAACTGTTCTCTAATTTCTTAACGTTTTCTCTGCTTTCTTTTCACCTGGTACAGCTATCAATAAGAGAGCAACGTGTTCCATCGGTGCCCCGAACTTTTTATTTATCTATTCACTTTTATGATGCCATTAAACCCCCAATCAAACCTCGGGTAAAAAATCCTTGCTGCCAGTCACAAAATTAGAGAATCAATCTTAATTTGCAGTTTTGCACACTTAAAACGTATTGATCCCAAGGAAAAGGCATAGGCAATGCCTCTCAACAAATACTCATAAAAGAACCTGCTTTAACAGCAAATACCAAAGCTGTGAAAGCATTCAGAGATAGTTTTAAGAAATTAAAAAAAAAATTGAAAATAAATTATTATTATTATTTATATTTTTAGATTATTTGATGTAATGTTATTAAAAATAAATTATACAAAAAATAAAAAATATTTATATTATTTTAATATATTTTTAAATAAAAAACATTTTAAAAAACTTCAGGATGCATGGCAAAAGTTTAACTTCTGATATTTACTTGCCGCGTGATTATGTATTGAAGAAATCGAAGCTCTGGGATGCAAAAAAGGATGGCGTGCCAAAAAATACCAACTTGATTAAAACGCATGATAAGCTAATCCAAGGCAGGGACAAAAAACTTGCAATGCCAACGAGGGCAATAATACCAAAATGGTCATATTTTCCATGTAGGATACAAGGTGATATAATAAAACCAACAACATGAGGAGGAGGAGGAGATCATTCCTTCCACATGTCTGCAAATTCATCAGGCTCCAATGGATTTGATAGCTCGTGCATCTTCCTCCTCGTCTTGGCTTTGACTTTCTTGGCAAACTTCCCAGCCTTCTGCTTTTTCTCCAGTGCTCGAATCTGCAAGATTGAAATGAATATCATGCCATTGATGCCAAAATACTAAAAGAGAGAAAAATGGTTTATATATAATCACAGCAATTGAGGACAAACACCTAATAACCTCTGAACAAAAAGGTCAGTGAAAGAACAGACAGGGCATGGTTGCATTGGCTTGGACATTTGTTGAACTCAGTTATTAGGCAAACCCAGTAAGGGCAGGAACTCGACCATGAATCTAGCCAGAAGATTCTTGACGGTTTCATTTAAAAAAGAAACTTGTCACTATGGAAAACCACCAAAATGGTGTATATTTTGATACAGCTCATCAAACGAGGAGCTCTTCTCAAGATAAAGAAAAGTTAATCATAATTGTGATGCCAAAATGAAAATTAACGTGAAGAAAACTCTGACCTGGTTAGGTGATACAAAAAAGGGATTTTCATACAATGTTGGGCCTCCAAAGCTGCCACCAAAAATCTTGATAGGATTCAAGCAAAATCTTGGACCAACCTGCACAAAATCATTCTATCGAAATTAAATAACTACCATAGGTGTTTCACTGTGTGCATAAATTCAAAAGTACATCAGAGCAAAACCTCAACAAGGGTCATCTTATCCAGGCCTCCCCGAGCTATTTTATCTGTTTCGTTATGAGGAACAGATATCTATATCAAAGAAGAAAAGGAGACGGTTATGAGTTAGTTTTAAAAAAATAATGAAAACAGGGTGAAAAAATCTTCATAGCAAATAAAAACAAGGGGTATAAAAAACATTTTCAAAACGCTAGAGAGCATTCCAAAATCATGCTACTATGACACTTGTATGCAATTGCAACAAGCGTTGTGCATAAAAAGTAAAGGTATATACATACATATATATTCATATGCATAAAAATTCAGGTATTTTTTGAAAGTTTGAAAGCAGTGCAACTGCTGATTTTGAGCAACCACTTTATGGGTCTAGAATTGTTCTCTACGTCACATTGCTCTTGCACTATTAAAAGGGACTCAGCGCTTCAAGCAAAGAAGATTTCTGAGTGCTCACATTAGAATAAAAGAACTAGGCCTGAGTATCTGTAATTGCAATAACATGGTTCTAATTGGTGATTACAGATGCTGATTGCTACATCTGAGAAAGTTATCCCACAGAATAATGGAAGACAACATTGTGTGCTCGTCAATATAGATTTTACTATGACAGCCAACACCTTTAAATAAATAAGATATTAAAGTAATTTCAGTCACTGAATCTGCAAGTGCACCAGAAGTATAGTATCTCTATAACTGCAACTATAAAACCATCTGTAGTGGAATTTGGATGGCTGAACCGGCCTCTAATATTCAAGTAGTGTATCCCTTTCATTCCTAAAGCAGGCTGTAAGTAACACGGCATAACAATTTAAGAATATATGTGAAAACAAGGGATAATACAGAGGAATGAACATCTATCATGAGTGAAGGAAAAGGTAGGAAGAAAAGCCCAAAGATAGAAAATGCAGCCAAAGGGTTATCTGGGCTTTATGGCCAGAAAAGAAAGAAATCTTTCTTATATAAATTTATGAAAATATAAAAAATGTGATTTATTACAGCAGTAGCAGCCATTAAATAATAAGTAGACCCTAAAAAAAAAAAAAAAGCCTGGCCCTTAAAAATAACTAAATCTTAGTTGTCCAAACCTCCCTAATAAATAGGGCATAATAAACAAGGGAAAACCCCTAATTATATGAAGCTGTTACAGTATCGTGAACTACACTACTTAGGATTTGTCCAGCATCAAGATGCCCAATGATGAAAGTGGCCATTCTGCAAGTCCAATGAACAGACTATTTGATTGATAGCTGTGCTTAAGGTTCCAAACTAAAAGAAGGATCCAATCTGACAAACTGAACATCTCGTATATCAAAGGTTAACCTGAGACATGTAACATCTATCTGGAAGGGTACAGTCAATTAAAAGCTGCTTCGATATTTAGTAGAAACCCCAGCCTACTGAAATTTGCAGAAAAGGTGAATAGGAAAAGGAAATAACTTTTTAATATATGTGGGTTTCTGACTAGGGATTTCCAATAATGCTGCACATTTTTTAGGATTCCAAAATACCAGACAACTAAAAGGTCTTCAATGATATGTGCCCAATCTAAAAAATAGCAAACCCCATATGTAAACTTCTAGCTTGAACGATTTGTGGAAGGGGGTAGTTCATTAATTTGTTATAATTTCCAAGTTAGAAACATAAAGCTAGGAAAAAAATTAAAAACCTCAATGCACAGTAGCATGTTATGGGGCAAAGTGGCAAAATATTTAGTTTTTGAAGGCAGAAATTGTATAAATGCTTCAATAAAATTTGACTTCCAAGTACGGTCTAATATACCTGATAATTCCGAAACCATATATGGTCATCAACAATGGAGAAAACAAAGACATGGTCATAAAAAGGCTTAGATTTCCTGTGATCTTTTGGAGTTCCAAATATCTGGAAAAAAAAAAGATGAAAAAGTCACTGTCTAAGTATCATATAAAAAGACTTTTGAAGTTAACATACAGAGTTCATCATCAACAATTGGTATAGCATATGAGAATGAAACAGAAGTTACATTTTGCAACCTTGAAAGAAAAGTATGAGTATTGTATCCGTGAAGTTAACAGATCAGTGTGTCCTCAACTAATCTTAAAAAGCAAAAAATGACTAAATCTTGAGCTAAGAAAGTTGCTTTATGAATGCATCTGATTCTACACAGCACCAGAAACAAAACAGTCCAAAATGGTCATCTCTCTCACCATACTGTCATGAACAAGGCCATAAGATGCAAGAGAAGAAGCACTTGTAATATTGCAAAAATTGCAGATACTAGAATATCAATCATATTTGTTTACCACTGGAAGATATTTTGGAAAGGTATTTCACGATTGTCTTTTAGAGAATGAAGAATCTGTTGGTATAGTCATGCATTATAAGATAGACCACAGATAAATGTTGCTTCTAAGGTGGGAAACAAAAATCAAAATACCTGAATGATCATCTCCTTCAGGAGTTTCCAGTGGGCATCTTTATCAAAATTAGCTGAGAAAGTCAAGAGGGGTCTTGACCCTTTCAGATGATTTCCTGTAAGCTTCAATTCTTCCATTGTGTGCACTAAAATGAACAAGACAAGTTGCAATGGTTAGGCTACTTAGTCATAATACAAGAAAAGAGCAAACCATGTGAACAAATCAATTTATTAGATTAATCACAACAGCAGCTTCTTTTTCTTTTCTTCCCGTTTCTTTTTTTTTTTTTTTTTTGTGGTTATAGAGATTATACTATCAGAATGGGAGCAGAAGAAAATTACAAAAGGACTGCAGGGCATCCTCCATAGTAGAGTGCAAGAAATTGGATCAAAGAAAATCAGGAAATGGCTCTCCACTGCCACTGAATACTAATGGAAGGAAAATGTTCAAATGCCCAACCCAAAACACCACAAGAAGTCAGAAGGACTAATCTAGACCATAACAACTGCTTAAAAATAGAGAATTTTAGAGATTTTCAAATTTTACTCCACACAAATGCTCGAAGTCAAAGCAGACAAGGTACATCTCTATGAAGATTTCGCTATCTTCCACCTCCCAATACCATTAAATAAATGTGTTAAAATTGTGATGCTACAAAAATTAGCATTTGAATACAATAAGTGCAAGCCTATTAGAAAACATGATTATAAAAAATATCACAAAAAAATAAAAAATTAACATACCAGCATTGACTAAGAATTTCACAGACGGACCACTAGGGCACTTGACCATCCATAGATACAAATCTTTATGTTTCCTGCACTGAAATAGAGAGAGAAAGGAGAACAAAAAAGTCATCAACAACAAACAATCTAAAATATGGCAACTTAAGTTCTTTTTTTTTTCCTAATCTCAAAGTCGATAGTTATATAATCACCACACCTCCTCTCAAAGTTACAAAGTTATTTTCCTTCAAATTACCAAACCACGCAAACAAGTGGAACAATTATCAATATCAAAATTCATGTGATGAGTTATCATAGGTATTAAACCTACAACCACTTGCACAAATAATATGGAATTAACCAGGTCAAATTGTTTATTTAAGGAAGAAAACAACTAAATTTGAAGTTCACCTCAAAGAACAAAGAGGAAGAACCATTCTTCAACTCCACAAGCTCATTCAATGTCGCGCCTTTAGTACTTGTAGACTCAACCTTACTATCCTTCTTACAATGCGGCAGAAGTGACACCAAATTCAACATCAAGTGCCTATACCTGCAACACCAACAATTCTTTCAAACACCAACAAAATCCAGCAACCCCCCAAAATCCCAACAAACCCCGAAATCAAATATATATGTATATATAAGCATTAATATAAAAGGATTGGATCTTTATGGAACCTGAAATTGATACGCCTAGAACAAGTAACCAAGACTTTCTCTTTATTTCTAAAACCACCCTGTTGAGGAGGTATAAATTCAGTCTCTTTCACTTCAGGTTTATCTTTCCAACCCAAGAGCGTCCTTTTGGGTCTCTCTGGTGCACCTTCATCTTTCTTTGCAGGTTCAATGACCTGTGTCTCAACGTGCTTTCTCTTCTTTCCCATAGTTTTGTTTGGTTACGTACAGATACCTGAAACACATGAAATCTTTAGTCTAAACACCATGAAAACAATACAAAGTTTGTATTTAGTTGTCAATAGAACTAAGCAGGAAAAGGGTTGGTACCTAAAGAGGGGAAAGCTAGCTGCAGAGAGTAAGATACAGAGAGACAACGAGTTTCTGCCAACGAGGAGCAAAACCGTGATAAAAACCTAAAAGTTTTAAAAAAAGGTAATGAAAGTGCTCAGGGCCCAAACCAGTCGATTGGACTCTTATTGCTTAGATGGATTAGGCCCAATAAAAGATGAGCTCAAGCCGAGTAATCCCAGTGGGTGGATTTTTATGGAGAAAAGTGTCCTGTGCTTTTTTGGGTTAGTGTTTGACCTTTTCTTATGTTAACAACTCGGAAACTCTTTCTATTTATATGGTAAACACAAACAAATTAGCAGAATGCTTGTTTCTTATTTTAATTAAACATCTAAATTGTTTATATATATAGCTTTACAAAGATAACATGCTTATTAATGCGGTAAATCTTCAAGAATCAAACAACTTTTTCCTAAAAAATGAGAATTATTCAAATCATTAGTGTCTTTGGAAACGTGGCTATAGTAGAGATGTTCAAAAAAACTGAGTAACTGAAAAAACCAAGAAAATCAATGGAAAATTAATTAAAAAACCAAATCAAGATAAAAAAAATCGATTAAACCGATTATTAAAACAAGAAATCTTTCCGGTTCGGTTTGGTTTTGATTTTACTATCAAAACCAGTGAACCGAACCGGCCATCCATAAAAATAAAGTTAGAAACGAGTAAACAACCTGGTATAAATAGTACAATAAACCTAAACCTAAATGACATTATAATTTACTTTTGAAGTCGTCGCTCACACCAGACCAACTTTCTTCCTTTCCCCTTTAATTTTCATCTTCTCTGTCTCTTGCCCCCTGTATCTGTCTCTTCTCTAGTCGATCAATAAGTAAATAACTCACAGCTCACACTAGACCAATCTCTCTCTTATGTCCTTACAGAAATTTAAAAAATCAAACCTCGCTAGATCAAAGTAATTAGTCTCTAGGTATCGTTGACAGGTAATATTGTTTCTATTTTTTCTCTCTTGTCCTTTGCTCTCTTGTTATGATTCTTTGATCTTGAGAGACAATTAATTAGATCAAGTTTGATTTTCACTTTTATCTGTTTTTTCTAGTTTGTTTTATTGATTGATGTGAGTTTTATACATTGATTTTGAGTATGTATTCCAAATAATTGAAAAGTTGAATTTTTATCTGCACTCTTATTCTTCTTCGTCTCTATATTATCCTTTGTTCTTCTCTGTGTGTCTCTTCATGAGTCGCTGCATCAGTTTGCTTAGGTCTTGTTATGATCGCTTCTTTGCAAGCGAACACCATAGATTATAAGAAGGTGGTGATAGAAGGGAATCAATCTGAAGCAGTAGCAGTATCAGCCTTCCAGGGCAATCTCATTGACAATATTGATGTGGAGGATGGAGATGTTGTGGTTTTGGTTTTATATTCATATTAAATTTATAATTAGCTTAACATTAGTTTGCTTTAAAATTTAAAGCTTAATTTAATGTAAGACTAAGCCAATTTAAAAAAACAAAAAACAAAAAAAAACCCACGAGATTAGGTTTCTTGGTTTTTTCCTTAAAAAACTGGATTTAACCGGACCGGTTTGGTTTGAACAGATTTCCGGTCCGATTCAGTTAATTTTAGATAAAAATACTATAATTCGGTTCAGTTGATTTTTTTAGTCTAAACCGAATCGAACCGTAAACACTCATATGCTATAGTTATATTTTAAAATATTTTTTACTTAAATACATCAAAATAATATTTTCAACCATTTTCCCTTATTCTTTTTCTTTATTAAGAACCCTCTCCAGGCATACAAGCCAACACCATTCACCATTACCATCTTTAACTCATGATCTCCTTATCCCATCCACCATGATAGCCCATCAGATGCCAACAAATCCAACCACAGCGCATCGTTAGCAGAGTTTCAAAAAGAAAATAATAGCAATGCTAATATAGTGATAGTAGCAGCGACTGTCATTTCCTTCTATTTTCTGATTTTTTCAATAAGGTCTAAAAAGACTTTGGGGTCAGTAACAACACCTGTAAGTGATTAGTACTTAAAAGTACATTTTTATCATGGTTTTATATCATCATTTTGCACTTGAAATATCAATAACTCCTTAACTAAAACATGTTTTATAATAATATATCTAATAATATAAGATACCTATAATTTGTTGTAAATGTCTATTTTTAATGCAGGTCTATCACATAAATGAAAGGATTGATTGATGACTTGAAGAACTTAAATTGCATGGATAAAGAGATGGTCAAACTTAGAGAAGAGATGTCGGTGCAATCCAAACCGGAACACTGTTCGGTAATTGGGTCATATCTAGAGCTACAGATCTCAGATTTAGGTCCAATTTATATGGATGGAAAGGTAAGACATAGGCATACAACTTTCATATGGAGCCCAAGATCTAAAAAGGCCATTATCAAGTCCAAATTGTAGCAACAACAAAGAAGCCCGAATCTGTCTTCCAGCCCGAGCACTGTTCGGTATTTTGGCCATATCTGGAGTTCTAGAAGTCCAAATGAGCTGAATTGTTTACACAAGAAAGCTGAGACAATTGCCTACAACTTTCATGTTTACAACTGGCTCCAATTTTGACGTTATCAATGACGTTTTGGGCAGACAAGAGAAGATAAGGATTGTCACCAAGTCAAAAGTTGGCCACCCACTTATCAATTAGTCATCAAATCAATAGTTCCCAATTTTGGCCTATAAAAGGAGGCATTTTCCATACATTTAGGCATCTTGGTTTCCAGATCAAGATCATGCTCTTCCTTTCTCTCTTTGTATTTTTTGTAATGTTTATGCTTTGCTTTCATTAATATTAAGTTTATGCCTTTCATTTCCTTTCCTTTACTTAGTTAACTTTTATGTTCTTATTTTGTTTATCTATTTTTCTTTCTTTCATTATGTCTAGCTAAGTTAATTATGTCAAGGTGAAAAGGTTACACTAATGGTGTAAGAATAAGTATAATGTAAACTCAATATGGACTTTAATGTTTGATACTAACATGTTTTATATTTGTTATCTTGTTCACTCTTTAATACTTTGCTTGTTAAATGACTAATCTTGATTTATGTTGTATAACACTTGGTACAACAAATGCTTGGCACTTTCATAGCCCATAATCTTTGCTTGTTAAATGACTAATCTTGATTTATGTTGTATAACACTTGGTACAACAAATGCTTGACACTTTCATAGCTCATACTGTATGGTATAACCGACACCTGAGCTATGAAAAAAACTTGATTTATTGTTAACATAAGTTATAATCATGAATGCTTGACGAGATTTACAAGTATTAGCATTAATCGAATAAGATGACTAATGTAATCATGTTAACAATCTATAATCTCATTGAAACCTCCTTTGTGTGTGGTTTCCAATTGAATAATAAGAGTTTATCCTATACTTGTTTGACATACCATTAGTGGAACCTCTAACCTTGACATTTGTTATTATCATTGTTTAATCGTTACGTTAATATTCCATCTCAAAGTTCTCATCTTCTTCTTCTTTTTCTTCTTCTTTTTCTTTATTATTATTATTATTATTATTATTATTATTATTACTATTATTGTTGTTGTTATTGTTGTTACTATTGTCGTTTATAATTTGTACAATTAACCTCTCTGTGGTTCGACCCCGGTCTTGCCGGGTTATTTATTACTTCGACACTCCTGCACTTGGGAGAAGATATCAATCTTTCAGTCGTGTCAGTAAGAAATAGTAAAGGTGATGAGGAGGGTCCAATAACATCAACAACAATAACTTGGTTAATTTCCTTAGAAGAGATTTTGTAGCAGTCCAACCACATACCCGTTTGATATTGTAACAACAACAACAATAGCTTTCAACATCTGTAGCTCCCCAAGGTCCCCACAGTTGTAATTTCTCCTTTATTTCCTTCAAGAGCAGCAGTCTCTCCTCAGAAGGTACGAGCACCTCTACAATGATTTTCCAGCTCCAGCACTTCAGCACAACATGAACTCTAGTGGTATCAGCTTCAACATGGAAGCCCAACAATCCTATCGGCAGCTCAATTAAAGTTTCCCTATACATGGCAACCAACAAAAACTGTTGGTGTAGTTTGTAAATAAATAAAAGAAAAGATGTTTCTCCCATATTAGAAAGAAACACTCCCTCCTAATATTTCTAAGTGTGGGTTTCTATTGTATAGTAAATTAAGTCATGGTGGGCAAACTCTCTTATTTGGCTTCCTAATGTTATTATATGGATATTTAAAATATCAAAAGATAGCATTTGGAGCTTTAAACTTGGAACTTAATATGAACAGTTATACTGTTTCATGAATAGTCGTACTGTTTGATGAAAAATCATATTATATCATCAACAATCATATTATTGAATAGTTATATTGTTTGATGAACAATCATAGTGGTTCATCAATAGTCATATTATTTGATGAACAATCATATTATTTCATCGTTATGTTTCAAAGTCTATAAAAACATCTTACTACAAAGAAAAGAAATAACAACAAAATATATATATTCTTTTCTTGGTCTTATCTTCTCATTCTTTTAAAGGTTTACAGGGCTTAGTTGTATCTTGGAGGTATTATCTCTGTGTAGGACAAATAAACACCTTAAAGATAGTGTTTTCACGCCTCTAAGCCAACTCCATATTTGTTTCCATCCTAAATTTTCCTAACAATTTTAAGGAGTTTATTTTGATGGAGACAAATATGAATTTTAGTGTCAAAATTGCTAAGGATGTCAAAATTCAACTAGATCGGTTTTATGGTATGAATTACACAAGATGGATGGACAAGATGATATTCCTGCTTACTTCATTAAGGATTTACTACATACTTGATCCGAATTTATCTGCATTACCTGAACCACAAGAAGACGAATCTGCCATTATTAAGACTACAAGAGAAAA